TAAAATAAAACCATCTTATTTCATTTATTCCCTTTTTCTGTTTGAAAAATGTTTCAAAGTAATATATGTTACACACAATATAGTTTAATTGTGTATGGGAATCTACATAAATTCTTTTAGAACTTTAAAGGCATGTGTCATCTATTGTTCATTTTTAATTGATAGAAATCTATTGTCAGACAGTTTTTCTTTTGAAGCTAACTTAGTTTCTCTTTTCTTCATTTTCACTTTTGAGAATTCTTGTTCATCAGTTGCTGGATATCTTCAGTTGGCCATCTGTCTCATATTTCATATTTTCTGTTACTGTTTTGATCTAAATTCTTGGTTATGTATTCAGTTTAAACTTCAAACTTTATCCTGAATTTTGTTGCATATAACATGCTCTTTGTTTCTCAGCTACCTTATTCTCATTGTTCTTTTTCACAACTAAATGACAGATAAAGAAGATGTTCCACTCAATGTTATGTTAATTTGTATTTAAATTTCAAAAATCAGGAAATCTTTGGGAATTCTTGTAACTGGTGTATTTTTTATCTGAAAATTATATTTTAAAATAAATGAGAGATAAATCATCATTCACTAGAGACATTTATCTTTTTTTTTCTACTAATTCTTTTGGCATATGCACAGAACATACTCACTCCTACTAGATAACTTATTCTTTGCATAGTTGCTATGGTGGAGGGAGCCATAAATAGGATAAAGATAGCAGATTTCCTGAACCAGGACTTGCTTTATTTTTTAAGATATTATCTTGGTCATTCTATCTTACTTCATTTATTGAAGTCATTTTGCATTATAAATGATGTGTTTCAGGTGTGTATCATTAACAGGCATCATGTGGATACACTGCATTAAGCTTACTACAAAAGTCATCCAGTTTTATCACTGAGGACCTTGTATATATGGGTTTCTAGCTTGCAAATTATGGTGCATTATCACATACATGAATGTATTTCTCCCATTCATCTTGCTGTTAGAAGTTTGTTCCTCTTTTTCCTATACTTTACTATATTCCTATACTATAGTATACTATACTATATTCCTATAGTATACTATGTTATATTCCTATACTAATAATATATTCCTTTCCTATACTATACTACACTATACTATATTATAATCCTGTACTGTACTATACTCCTATACTATAGTAATACTAATAATAATACTAAATAAATATCCCTAGACTATCATCTTGAATTAGAAACCTTTTATTCCCAATAGTTAAATAGTTGTTCATTGTTAACTACTACATGTGTATGATCTTTTAGTTGACAAATAATTTTGTGTTGATAACTTTATTTAACTTAATTGTATCTATCAGCTATATAAATCCTTTTAAGTTAGAGTGATATGATAAAATTATTATCTTAGTACTGCTTGTATACCTTTGTCGGCTTCATAACAGAGACGAGACTAATATATAAGCCAGACGAGACTAATATATAAGCCAGATGGAAGCTTTTAAAACACAACATTTATTATTATTATTATTTTAGTGTACTTAATATATAACATTATTTTAGTTTCAAGTGTATACAAATATACAGTATTTGTATCCGTTGTCAAATGGTTAACCACAATAAGTCTAGTTAACATCTATCACCATACATTTTTTTTTTAAAGATTTATTCATTTGTGCATACAGAACTGGGGTACAGGCCAGAGGCTCAGGGTCGGTGAGAGGCTTCACCAGAGATAGAGTGGGGAACAGAACAGGCAGATCGATGAAGTACACCGCTGAGGGGAGCAGGGGGCGGGAGATGTCTGGAGAGGTCTGCTACACCATGTGGTCACCTCCGGGGCAGGCGGGAATTGAACTCATGCGGCAGCAGCTTTAGATTCTCACTGTTGTGCTTTAACCCACTGTGCCACCAGGGAGGGCCACCGTACATGGTTTTAAAAAAATTTCCTTTTTTGTGATGAGAACTTTTATGATCTACTCTTAGTAATTTATACAGTACATTCGTTTTAAAAAAATTTCCTTTTTTGTGATGAGAACTTTTATGATCTACTCTTAGTAATTTATACAGTACATTATTAATAATGTAATACTGTACATGTAATGTGTATTACACCCCCTGACATATTTCATAAAGGTTATCTTGCAACTTTTTACCTCCCTTACCACTTTGCTGTCACTACTCCCTAGTCTATAACAGCTACCAGTATGTTCTCTGTTATCTGTGAGTTTATGTTTTAGACTCTATGTGATATTACAATTTCTCTTTCTCTGACTTTTTTCACTTAGCATAATATCCTTAGAGTCAGTTTATTATGTATCATACAAAGTGTAACTGTTAAGCACTTAAAGGTCAGGGTTAGTGAATTCTCTTCAGAGGGAAGGAATAAGTATGGAAAACCAAATTTATAGTCACTCATTTTTAGGTAGGCATAGAATCAGAACTTCATTGATCTTACTGGTTGGTATCATCTGGCTGAGATAACCTGATATATTGAGTCTACTATCAAGTGAGTTGCCATGCAGACCAGAAAATTAAGTATTGGTCAGGGCATCATTTTTCTTGGGTTTTGCATGAGGTCCAGAAAGTCTGCCTTGATGCTGAAATTATTTTTCTAGGTGACATTTTAACTTGTGTTGATAAAAGTTTAACTAAGAGATAGTATAGTGAGTTTAATTAGTTATGAGTTTTCTAAGTTGTCTAGAGTCCCACGAAAGCCAACCTAAATAATTTGTGAAGCTTTTTAGCCAGTTGTTGATAGATTCTTACGTTTGTTAATCTACCCTGTGTATCAGTCTTCTCTTTTTTTAATCACATGTAGATTCTCTCTAATTTTAATCCTCGAACTACCCCATCGCTACCATCATAAGCAGGTATTATCTTAGCATCATTTTCAGAAAACTGAATTGACTCACCCTATAATATATAAGTAGCAAACTCTCGAACTAAGTTTTGACTTTCAGTCTCTAATATTTTTTAATATATATCTAAAGTAACTTTGTTGTATGAAAAGAGAAAGAAGTACTAAACTGTTATTTCTTATTTGACTATCCTTGGAAAATTAAGACTATTGAACAGTAGATATGTTAATTTAGGTTTCACTGGTATGGTTTAATTTTTTTTCTCCCACTCTATACTAATATCTGACTTTTAAATCCCTTTTATAAGTTTTATTTGACCAGTTAGTAGTACAAGTAAAATTAGGAACATTCTTTTCTGAAAGGAGCAATACATATGTTGGCACCTTGGAAATGCCTTAAACGTAAATGTAATCAGAGCTAAATACAAATTATAATTTTCTTTTTAAGTCTATAAAATTAATATTTTAGTACAAGCATCTCCTCAGTGCTCTTTTTTAGCCTGGACTCCATATAGTTAGACTCTTATCAGAAGCTAGCATAATCAATCATGTTGAAGAACTGGGGTATATGCCAGAGATATGATTGGTGAGAGGATCACCAGAGGCAGAGTAGGGTAAAACAGGAAGATCTGGCCCTCCCTGGTGGCGCAGCGGGTTAAAGCACAGCACTGAGAAGCTAAAGCCACTTGTGCATGAGTTCGATTCCCACCTGCCCCGGAGGTGACCACATGGTGTGGCAGACCTCTCCTGACCCACCTGCTGCTCCCCTCAGCAGTGTACTTCGTAGATCTGCCTGTTCTGCTCCCCACTCTGTGTCTGCTGAAGCCTCTCGCTGTCCCTGAGCCTCTGGCTTATACTGCAGCTCTGTATGAACAAATAAATAAACCTTTAAAACAAACAAACAAAAAAACCAGGAAGATCTACTGAAATACACTGTTGAGAGGAGCAAGGGGCAACAAAGGCTAAGAATTGAACTCAAGCTGAGCAATGACAGTAATGAGACTTAACCTCTAGGCCACCATGGAGGCCCCTATTTTTAATTTCTTGAGGAACCTCCATATTGTTTTCCATAGTAACTGTACTATTTTACCTTCCCAACTACAGTGCAGTGCACTAGGGTTCCCTTTTCTTTACGTAATCACCAACATTTTTTATTTCTTACCTTTTTGATAGTAGCCTTTCTAAAAAATGAAATCATTTATCATTGATTTGCATTTCCCTGATAATTTGTAATGTTGAGTACCTTTTTATGTACCTGTTGATCATCTCTGTGTCTTCGGAAAAATTCTATTCATATTGAGTTGCATGAATTCTTGTATCTATAGTTAATATTAATGCCAAGTCTTTATTATGCTGCCTTTTTTGCCTTTTTGTTAATAATTTCTTTTGCAGTAGCTCTTTATTGTGATGTGTCTCCCACTTGTCTAGTTTTGCTTTTTGTTGCCATTGCTTTTAACTGTCAAATCCAAATATCATTACTAAGAAGCACTTGTCAACTTGATTTTCCTGTAGAAGTTTCATGCTTTTGTCCTTTCTTAGTATTTTTTAAGTTAGTTTTTTTTTTTTTTGGTGGGGGTGAGGAGAGGGGGAACAGTAGATAGTGGTTTAGTTTCATTCTTATGCATCTGGCTGCCCCATTTTTCTCAGCACCGTTTATTGAAGAGTGTGTCCTTAGAAGTAGCATTTAGGTTTTCAGTAGCAGTCTTACAAAAAAAAAAACTGAAGTTGTTGCAGTCCTAAAAATTGGGTCCTAATTACATCTTAATACTCACCATATAGGATGACTTTTTTTTTTTTTTTTTTTGGGTAATGTTCATCAGCAGACTTACCCTTGTTTTAGGACATATTTGGCATTATGGGTTAAAATTCAACATTTAATAACTTGAATTAACTATGTGGGTTTTTTCTTTTTTATGTTTAAGAGCCAGAATTTTGTTGCTGGCATGCTTTTTTTAAATGAATTATGCCATATTTTTTGGTCATTAAGTGTTTAAAATTGTGTGTTTTAGTAACAGACACAGATTTCAATCTCATCTCCAACACTAATTCCATGACTTTGGCTATTTGCTTTGGTTAAATTCCTTTGAGATAAGTTCTTTTCCATTGAGACGAGTATTTGTGGTCCATTTTAAGAGAGAAACTGTCTCACCATAGTCCTTTATTTGCTTTTATAGATCAATGCACTGTTACCCGTACATACCTGTTTCTTCACAAGTTCTGGTTCTTTAATGCTGCATACTATTTTGGTAACTGGGCCTTTCTTGGGGTAAGTACAGGTTTTCCACATTTGACGTGACTCTTAGTGGTCCATATGTATTATAGCAGCAATATCATTGAAATTAAAATGCATTGCTAATGATTTCAGATTGGAGAAGTAACATATGGCTTTTAAATTTATAGGTATTCTTAATTGGATTAATTGTATCCTGTTGTAAAGGGAAGAAATCAGTCATTGAAGGAGTAGATGAAGATGATTCAGACATAAGTGATGATGAACCCTCTGTCTATTCTGTTTGACAGCCTTTCTAAAGGTTTTTCAAGTCTGACTGAATATCTGTTAAACATTTTTAATGTGTTAAATTAGGACAAACCAACTAGCTTTCATTAAAAATGGGAGCATGATCATTAAAAAACTATATTTTTATGTATGTTTTCTGAAGTAACAGTATTGTATCATAGATAAGCATTTAAAATTGCTAAAATAATACTATGTAAATACAAAACTACCAGCTTTGTGAGGAGATGTTTGTGAATGTTTGTTTTCTCTAATGTATAATAGTGTTGAATTGATTAAATGTCTTCCAGAATTAATATTCCATTTGTCAGTTTTTTAAAACATAAATAACTCGTATCTGTGCCTTTGAGTCTCTAGAGTAATGTGGAATTATACTGTGTCTGTATCTGATTGTCTTAAGATAATATTCACAATATCACTGAAAAATAAATGCTACTCCTATACAACTTGTTTTTTATTTTCTACATGAAATCCTTATTGTCATTCAAATAGATTTTATAAATGTATTTCAAATTATGTAGTTCCCTAAGACAATGGCATTTCAAGATTCATTACATTGTTCTGAAATTAATCCATTGTCTTAGACCTCTCTAATATTAAAGGCATAGGTCTTATTGTATGTGTCTAATCTCAACATTTGTATTACAACTTATGTTGGGTTATTGTAAGAATAGTTAACAATAACCCATCATTAAGATACATGACTTCATATTTTAGCTATATGATCTTTTCATTCTAAAGGTTTGGAATTTGCAAAAGGCATATGCAAAGCCATATAACATCAGCAGGTTATTTTGAGGACATTCTTATATCATCAGAAATGATACGCTAGTATACTGATATAAGTAAAATAGAACTTATAAAAAGCAAAATACCATTGTTTCTGAAAAAGAATTAGGAATTAACAGCCATCTCCCACTTAATTCTTCCCTCTTTTAATTTTTGTGCCACTGCTCTCTTGATTCTGTCTCTCTAGATATGCCTTCACAGCCTTTGTGTTTGGCTTCTGCACACATTTTAATGTTATTCACGAGGATTTCATTCCCTTTTGCCTTTGTTTTACATTTTCTTTCTGGTCATCAATCTTATATAACCTTGACTTCCAGCTGATAAACTCCAAATTTTTACTTACCTACTAACTAGAAATTACTTTGTCAGTTGCATCATGAAGATTGAATTTCTCATTTTTCTGGGGATACCAAAATTTCTCCTGGTTTCCCCCCACACACAGATGGTATCAGTACATACCTGGTTACCTACGTTAAAAATGAGGCCTACCTTGATTTTTCCTGTGCATACTTAAATCAGCAACTAATAAGTCATGTTTATTTATGCTTCCCAATTAGTTTCTTTGCTCTCCCCTTCTTCTTTCTTACTGCTAGTCACTGTGTCCCCTCCAAATTCTTATGTTGAAGTTCTGAACCCCCGTACCTGAGAATATGACTGTACTTGGATATCGGGTCTTTAAAGAAGTGATTAAGGTAAAATGAGGCCATTGGGTGATGTCCCAATCCAGTATGGCTGTTACCTTTACAAGAAGAGGAAGAAACTTTAGAGATATGTACTCATGGAGAAAAGGGGTTTTTTAAGGACATGACGAGAAGGAAATCATCTGTAATCCAAGAAGGGCCTCTAGGGAATCCAACCCTGCTGGTATCTTGATCTTGCGTTTCTAGCTCCAAAAATATGAGAAAATAAATTTTCGTTGTTTGAACTACTCAGTCTATGGTGTTTTGTTATGGCAACCCAAGCATACTAAGACACATGAAATTTGACCTTCCTCACTGAACTTCCTGCCAAGTTCCATCTTCTTTCAACCTGTCCTGGGTAATTTAGATGCAGTCAAATTATTTCATTTCTTTTCTGTGAAAAATTTTCAGTTATTTTAGAATGAGATCCAAAAGCTGTCAAATAACATCAAAATCTTCCTGGCATGTTTCATACCTGATTGTCTAGCTTGTCTGCCATCCTCAGGTCATTTATATAAGCCAAATGAACAAATACTACTATGCAAATGGTTCTGATTACTCACATCATCAATCTGTTGAACTCTTGCTTCTGTGACAACCTTCCCTTCCTTTTGTTTCTAAGGAAATATTTATCTTCCAAATCTCAGCTTTAACATTATCACCTCTGCTTTCCCTTTCTGGTTTTTCCCTACTCACATAATATCTTCTACAATACGTTATGATTTATTGATCTCATGTCTGACTCTTACAGATTGCAAATCCTTGAATACACATCTGGTTTTTCAGCTTTATACTAGTACCTAGAATAGTTCTTTGTATGTGGAAGGCACTCAGTTGACTAGTAAATTTGCTAGTTTGTAAGTCTTTATATGTGCTCTAACCCTATATAAACCGTGTTTGATTAAGGGATATGCTTTATATGTAAATATACACATACATGATCTATTTTTGAGTTTTGATATCTAGATGTTTAGAAGCACTGTCATATTTGTAGTGAAAAGAACATATACTGTATTACTTCTGAGAGTGATGTGTTTTGTTTTAATCAGACCAACCTCAGCCTTTTATTTTCTAGTCATATTTTTTTAACATTTTTTTCCTTAGATTCTAAAATTTTTCTTTTGCCTATTTAGAGGTTTACTTTTATTCTAAGTAAACTTCCTCCCCTCCTAGAAATATGGAATGACTTCAGATTTCTTGAAGCTGCTCTAAGTGTTGTCATTTCCACCAGTGAACATATTTCCTTTAATATTTCCTCCAAAATTCCTAATTAGAAATCATCAGAAGTGATGACTTTATATAAAGGCGAATGCCCTCATATTATGTACAAGCTTCATACAGGTGATTAATTTATTAAGCATGTAGCAAGGTACTAACAAAAAAAAGACCTAGAGATGACTTCTTTCTCAATGCTGCTATACCAAAAGTAAAAGAAAACAAATACTGTATTAAAAAAAAAAAAAAAGCCAGGAGCACCAGGAAAATAAATTTTTAAAATACCACTACTAAGCTCCTCAGTGAGTGCTATATATAGTAACAATTTTAGAATTGGACCCTAGAACAAAATGGATTTATTAAAGCAGTTGAATATAAATGTCAACCATAGCAGTGTAAAAACGACAGTTGATTAAAGATGAAAGTTTAAAGAAGAGTGGCAGAAGAAAACCTAAGGAAAAAAGGGTAGTAATACGTGAAGGGAGGACAGGAGAAGAAAATCAATACTGTGTGTAGGGGGAACAAAGAAGAAAGGTCTGAGTATATAAAAGTTAGTAAAAGTAATGAGTATACTTCATTACAACAGTAATACAGTACTAGGAGAAGGAGAAAGCAGGGGACAACTGTCTCAAGGAAATAGAGTTTTGGTATTTTTTTTTTTTTTTTTTACATAGGAAGTCAATAGATACTTAAAATTTATAAACTTTTTAAGTAGCAACGTGTTAAAATGTAACCGAGACAGTAATGATAAAAATAGATTAGGTGTTTAAAGGAGAAATTGTATAAAGTTAAAAAGTCGTTGCAATTATACATAAATACAACTTTTAATTTCCTGGCAGCTAAGAGAAAAAGACTGATGGATGATGAAGTTTTTACATTTGAGGAAAGGAAGCACTATAATTTGCCTGATACAATTTTTCTGGCAGTAAAATTTAGATGGGAATACATTGTGAATTTTTATGTAAAGAATGTTAACAATGAATAAATGTCTTTAAAATTTAAATAAGTATGCAATGAAACAATATGGGATATTCAGGGAAAATCTCATTGAAAACTCAGAAGTCTCAAGGTTAATTAACTTTGTGGGTACTCCATTTATTCATTCTACCGAGCAAATATGCATTGACAACTACTGGTCTTCTAGTTTTGAAAAATATAGCTCCATCCTGGTAGAGCTTTTTCCAAGAATTTGTAGCTGATTGACCCTTCATAGTAACTACTATCAATATCAACTATGATTGTATGTATCTGACATGAGTAAACTTACTAACAATAACCTTTTCAGATTTGAGTTACAATGGAAAAGCTTCCTGTAACTGAAATGTTCACATCTTAAACCATAGCACACCTGTTGGTATCATATTCAGAACTCTGAACATGGAGTTGAAATGAGATAGGTAGTTATGAGAGGCATGTCAGGCATTTGGTGATATTTGCGTAAATAAGTACTCAACTTTCTTTTTCATTAGCCACCTATCACTTGACCAGATGGTCCAAATTCCCCAGATTGAATTGTGCTGCCCTAGGTAGTTCTAGACACACATTATTTGTGTAAGTGAATCCTAATTGGCAGGGCTTTTTTTTTTATATATCTAAATTATACTATTCTTTGCTTCTGAGAAACTATATCTCTCCAGACATATTTTGATTTACGAAGTTTTATTGAGGAACACGTATTTCCCTCCTTAGCATTTTCTTGGGATACACTTCTAAAACCACAATAATCTCTAATTGTCATTTCACAGGGAATGTGATGAGTTTATTCTCAGAGTAAAGTCCATTATAAGTAATAGTTTAGGGATAACATCTCTTTGAATAATTAAACTAGATGGTCAGTTATATAGCCTTCTGCGTGATTCTCCATAGATTCATACCTGCTTCAGCTCAACATTGAAGCTGCTAGATGGTATTCAAATCAAGGTTGAGCTCTGACAAATACGTGTATAAAGCAATGTCTTCTGTTCATAAAAGTACATTTTTGATTGCAGATGAGCAGGCAATGAGTTAATACTGGAAAATATAAAATAGAGCTGCTTAATTTCTCCATCAAGAGCTAGGAAATCAATGAGCTGATATAAAGTATCTATCAAGTGATTTTTTTTTAACTTGTACAAAGTTCATTCCATGACTATCCAACTGTTGTCTCTACCATGCACCAAAAACTGTTCTTGACCCTATTCTAATACTATCTAATGTTCATGTTAACGTCAGTTCCATTTTGAAGACCCCAAATATTTGTGTGTGTAAATATTTATATGCACACATCAACAAGAGCTCATGGATGTAAGGAAGACTGTTCTGCCCAGTAAAAGAATAAGGGAAAGATAAGTTTACTCCTGATGTATTCGATTATTCAAATAGTGGCAAAACTATAATCTTCTAAAAACCTGTAAGGAGAGATTTAATAAATCATCAAATTGAATACATATTTGTCTAGTATATATCAAAAGCTGCTATGAATTATATGTATAAATGAAAACATGGAGCGTATCTCAAAAGAAGCCAGGAAGCAAATAAATTTAAAAAATAGCTTTTTTCCCCAACAAATACTATAGAAGAGATACTATAGAACGCAGTGAAGCTAAGAGTTATATTAAGGTTTGAGAAGGCCT